ATATCTCAAAGTAACAAAACTGCTGAAAGAAAGTTTTTGGAGCAGCACTGCAGGTAATAAAAAAAACAAAGAATGACAGAAGTGCCATATCACAATTTTACAACCTCTAATGATATGTTTCTATGCAAGTATAAATAATTGTGGCTAACTGTAAAAAGAGTCACAACCCAACCTCATGTGCCTCTTGATGGAAATAATCAAAATTCCCTTGAAGTATTCTTGTCAAAAAATTGTGCCTGAGGCTGGGTGCAGTGGCTCATGCTTGTAATCCCAGCACTTTGGGAGGCTGAGACAGGTGGATCACCTGAGGTCAGGAGTTTGAAACCAGCCTGGGAAACATGGTGAAACCCTGTCTAAAAAAAAAATAAAATTTCTTAAAGAAAAAATTTGTATCAGAATCTGGTCAAGCTAAAAGATTTAATTATTGATAAACTGGAAATACAGAGAACAAAGGAACATTGTAAACTCTACCATATGGGTACAGTCAGCAAAGCTGAGAATGAAAAAAAAGGATGCGAAGGACCTCTTCAAGGAGAACTACAAACCACTGCTCAAGAAAATAAGAAAGGGAGCTAACAGATGGAAAAACATTCCATGCTCATGGTTAGGAAGAATCAATATCATGAAAATGGCCATACCACCCAAAGTAATTTATAGATTAAATGCTATCACCAGCAAGATATCATTGACTTTCTTCACATAATTGAAAAAATAAAAATAAAACCCTTAAATTTCATATGGAATCAAAAAAGAGCCTGCATAGCCAAGAAAATCTTAAGCAAAAAAATAAATAAAAAAAAAAAACAAAGCTGGAGGTATCACTCTACCTGACTTCAAACTATGTTACAAGGCTACTATAATCAAAAGAGCATGGAACTGGTACTAAAACAGAGATATAGACCAATGGAACAGAACAGAGGCCTCGGAGGCAACACAACACATCTGCAACCCTCCAATCTTTGACAAACCAGACAAAAACAAGCAATGGGGAAAGGATTCCCTGTTTAATAAATAGTGTTGGGAAAACTGGCTAGCCATGTGCAGAAAGCTGAAACTGGACCCCTTCCTTACACCTTATACAAAAATTGACTCCAGATGGATTAAATATTTAAACATAAGACCTAACACCATAAAAACTCTAGAAGAAAACCTAAGCACTACCGTTTAAGACATAGGCATGGGCAAGGACTTCATGACTAAATCACCAAAAGCAAAGGCAACAAAAGCCAAAATAGACAAATGGAATCTAATTAAACTTAACAGCTTCTGCATAGCAAAAGAAACTATCAACAGAGTGAACTGGTAACAAACAGAATGGGAAAAAAATTTTGCAATCTACCTATCTGCCAGCGGGCTGATATCCAGAATCTACAGAGAACTTAAACAAATTTACAAAAAAAAAACAAATAACCCCATCAAAAAGTGGGCAAGTGACTTGAACAGATACTTTTCAAAAGAAGACATTTATGCAGCCAATAAACATATGAAAAAAAGCTTATCATCACTGGTCATTAGAGAAATGTAAATCAAAACCACATTGAGATACCACCTCAGAACAGTTAGAATGGCAATCATTAAAAAATCAGGAGACAATGGATGCTGGAGAGGATGTGGAAAAAAAAGAGCACTTTTACATTGTTGCTGGGAGTGTAAATTAATTCAACCATTGTGGAAGACAGTGTGGCAATTCTTCAAAGATCTAGAAATAGAAATAGCATTTGACCCAGCATTGCTGGGTATATACCCAAAGGATCATAAATCATTCTATTATAAAGACACGTGCACATGTATGTGCATTGCGGCACTGTTCACAATAGCAAAGACTTGGAACCAACCCAAATGCCCATCAATAATAGATTTGATAAAGAAAATGTGGTACATATACACCATGGAATACTATGCAGCCATAAAAAAGATGAGTTCGTGTCCTTTGCAACAACGTGGATAAAACTGGAAACCATCATTCTTAGCAAACTGACACAAGAACAGAAAACCAAACACCGCATGTTCTCACTCATAAGTGGGTGTTGAACAAGGAGAACACACGGACACAGGGAGGGGAATATCACACACCAGGGCCTGGGGGGTGGGGGACTAGGGGAGAAATAGCAGGAGGTGGGGGGATTGGGGAGGGATAGCATTAGAAGAAATACCTAATGTAGATGATGGGGTGATGGATGCAGCAAACCACCACCATGGCATGTGTATACCTTTGTAACAAATTTGCACGATCTGCACATGTACCCCAGAATTTAAAGTATAATTTAAAAAAAAAGAAAAAAGAAAAAACCTCTACCAGTCACATCATCCACTTTCCTCAATAAATAAATGACATGAAAATGGGAAGGATAAATTAGGTACTCATAGATTAAAAGAAACTTAAAAGAAATATCAAAAAAGGCAAATTGAACTTTAGTGTCTGAGTATACTCATTTGCATAATAAAACTATTCAGAGGCCGGGCGTGGTGGCTCAAGCCTGTAATCCCAGCACTTTGGGAGGCCGAGGCGGGTGGATCACGAGGTCAAGAGATCGAGACCATCCTGGTCAACATGGTGAAACCCCGTCTCTACTAAAAATACAAAAAATTAGCTGGGCATGGTGGCGCGTGCCTGTAATCCCAGCTACTCAGGAGGCTGAGGCAGGAGAATTGCCTGAACCCAGGAGGCGGAGGTTGCGGTGAGCCGAGATCGTGCCATTGCACTCCAGCCTGGGTAACATGAGTGAAACTCCGTCTTAAAAAAAAAAAAAAAAAAAAAAAACTATTCAGAAAATTGTATAAGTTATTACAGTAAATGTCACAATAGAAGTTACATTGAGAAGTGGAGGAAGTCATTTGTGATTGAACAGGGAACAGGTAGGCCTTCTGGGTTGGCTGGCAAATTTCTATTAACTTGGATGGTTGTTACAAGCGTGTTTCCCTTCTCATAAGTCAATAAGCTATAATTTTTTAGTGTGACTTTCTGTGTTTGTGGTATATTTTACAATAAAAAGTATTTTTAAAGGAGGAAACAGATTGAATTAAACAATGGTTAGATGTTACCTACACTCTTTTTTAAAGCCTTTGATGAGGAAAATTGTCTCGTTTACTGAAGAACTCTTAGGCAGAGAGACTGGAGAAAAGCATCTCATCACACAAACCAAAAGATTTTTGTCCAAGGCCAATCTCTCTGGAGACAATCTGGTCAGTTCCTCTCTCTCTCTTGGGTTGACCTGGGAACCCTAGCAATGATGGATTGTGAGGACATTCACAGACTATTTCTCATTTCTCCTTTATGATTCTAACAGTGAAGTATCCTCTGTTCTCTGAGATATCACTAAGTAGCAGTCATGCCAATATGACCAATGCATTTGATGAAGGAAAAATCCTAGATGTCTCCTGCTTCCCTGCATGAATTACCTTATGTGAACATGACTGCCAAAACCTTGACAGGTTCTCCCAGTCCATTGTAGGTTCACAGAATGTGCAAGAAGTCTCCAGCACTTGTGTGGAGTATTGTCCAGGGTCTCTCTGCACATTCCACGTCTCAGTTCTTCCTGTTTATTGTGAATAACCATGCACATTCTCTTTATGTCACTGCAAATAATGAAGCCATAACCGGAGGCAAAAAGAATGAAGGTATTTGGTATCTAAAGGTTTGGAAACAATACAGAACTAGTAAAATAGTGGCAGCCCCAGAAAGAAAACATCGAGGGTACAAGTCTGTCTTTTTTTTCTTATCCGTAAAGTCTGGAGACCACAATTCTCAAGTTATAAATCAGGTACTTGGTTTTATAATATTTTGCTTTGTTGTTGGATCTATTTAATACCCAACTATGTGACACCATCTTGTACTAAGCAGATTGTTTGGACTGAACAATCTTTTTAGGTGTGTCATAAAACCTGAATTCATAAAAGGAAAAGGTGGCAGATTTGAGTATAAGAAGACTAAAAACAGATTCACAGGAATAAATTTATTTTTTCTATCACAGTTTGCACTAAATTAATTTACAAACAAGATCACCGAGGCCTTGGCTCAACTGTTAACACTTTCTGAGAGTGAGATTCTTTTGATTAGGGTCTTAAGGTCTTTGTTCATCTCAGAAGTCCTAATTGGTTTAATTAGGCTGACTCCTACATCCCTGTCTCATTACCATAAATTGAAGAGGGGTTCAACCGGACACTGATTGTTTCTTAGACCAAAGCCAGCACCAGCAGTGAGTAGGGTTCCAGGCCCCCCGAAATGCGGCAGGAAAACCCGAGGCCTGTGGAGGGCGTACTCTGGGGAGGTGCTGGTGAGTGGCGGAGGTAAAGCCAGAATGCAGTTGGTTGGTAAAACAAGAGTGATCTGAGTGCTGTGCTTGTCTGTGTGATCCACCATTGAATGGCAGGCCAGCCATTGTGCAGGCATCTGCATATGAAGTGACTAGAATCTTCACTGAAAGAAGGACCTCCTTGGAAATTCTCTCCCTCCAACACAGCCAGGGTGCTTAACATGAAAAGAAGTTGTAACCCTATCCTTAAACTATAGAAGCCATCAGCAGAAGTTAAAGGCTTATGGGGGCCCACTGGAAAGGGAAAATCAAAAGGCCTGCGGATTTCAAATTAATGAGTGATCTTAAGTTGCATTTCCTAAGTTCAGCTACAAACTCATATATTTCATGAGTCCCTCCCTACTCATTCGTTATCTCTCCCTTCAGCTGCTGGGTTTCTGGATATCCGTATAGTTAACCCTTATCATGCTTCCCATTTGTTCCATAGGAATGTTCACTTTTACTTGAATCTTTTTAGTAGAATTGTAAATCATGTAAATCACGTGTGCCTGTCTAGGTGTAATCATCAGATTTTGGTCAAATTGCTCTGCCAGATCGTGTGAACAAAAAAGTGAATGGAAATTTTCGTTTTAAAAAATAGTACTTTTGGACTTAGTCCCTGGCTGAGAAGTAAGGAGGCCAAGCGTACGGATGGCAGCGAGGGGTCAATCCACCCCCGGCGTTGGGTCGGGGGTGGAGGAGTCGGAAGTGGTTGGGGTTTGGGGGAGGAGATCGGCTCACACACAAGAGGAGAGTGCTGAGCCGCCATATCTGCTGCTGCCGCCGCAGTTGCGAATGCAGCATCGGCGCTTAGCTGCCTTCACGGTGCCGCTAAGGTTCGCGTCGCTACCCCTTGGCCCTTCGCTCTTGCTGCCTTAACCCCGCCGGCGGAGCCCGCTCTTTCTGGCCTGTTGAGCCCGCTCCCTCACTGCCACACAGCAAGTCTTGAGACCATGGATTCGGGCAGCAGCAGCAGCGACTCGGCTCCCGACTGCTGGGACCAGGTGGACCTGGAAGCCCCGGGGTCGAGCGGGGATGGAGTCTTGTCTGCGGTGGCCGAGGCCCGGCGCGAGCCCCTCAGCTCGGCTTTCAGCCGTCAGCTCAACGTCAACGCCAAGCCCTTCGTGCCTAACGTACATGCCGCGGAGTTCGTGCCGTCCTTCCTGCGGGGCCCGACTCAGCCGCCCACCCCGCTGGCCGGCTCCGGCCGCAACGTTGAAACCTGCACCGGCGCGGGATACCCTCAAGGTAAAAGGATGGGACGGGGGGCACCTGTGGAAACTTCCCGAGAGGAACCGTTAGTGTCGCTTGAAGGTTCCAATTCGGCCGTTACCATGGAACTTTCAGAACCTGTTGTAGAAAATGGAGAGGTGGAAATGGCCCTAGAAGAATCATGGGAGCACAGAAAAGAAGTAAGTGAAGCCGAGCCTGGGGGTGGTTCCACGGGACATTCAGGGCCCCCAGAAGAAAGTGGCCAGGAAATGATGGAGGAGAAAGAGGAAATAAGAAAATCCAAATCTGTGATCGTACCCTCAGGTGCTCCTAAGAAAGAACATGTAAATGTAGTATTCATTGGCCATGTAGACGCTGGCAAGTCAACCATCGGAGGACAGATAATGTTTTTGACTGGAATGGTTGACAAAAGAACACTGGAGAAATATGAAAGAGAAGCTAAGGAGAAAAACAGAGAAACCTGGTATTTGTCCTGGGCCTTAGATACAAATCAGGAAGAACGAGACAAGGGTAAAACAGTCGAAGTGGGTCGTGCCTATTTTGAAACAGAAAGGAAACATTTCACAATTTTAGATGCCCCTGGCCACAAGAGTTTTGTCCCAAATATGATTGGTGGTGCTTCTCAAGCTGATTTGGCTGTGCTGGTCATCTCTGCCAGGAAAGGAGAGTTTGAAACTGGATTTGAAAAAGGTGGACAGACAAGAGAACATGCGATGTTGGCAAAAACTGCAGGGGTAAAACATTTAGTAGTGCTTATTAATAAGATGGATGATCCCACAGTAAATTGGAGCATCGAGAGATATGAAGAATGTAAAGAAAAACTGGTACCCTTTTTGAAAAAAGTCGGCTTCAGTCCAAAAAAGGACATTCACTTTATGCCCTGCTCAGGACTGACCGGAGCAAATATTAAAGAGCAGTCAGATTTCTGCCCTTGGTACACTGGATTACCATTTATTGCGTATTTGGATAACATGCCAAACTTCAACAGATCAATTGATGGACCAATTAGACTGCCAATTGTGGATAAGTACAAGGATATGGGCACTGTGGTCCTGGGAAAGCTGGAATCTGGGTCCATTTTTAAAGGCCAGCAGCTTGTGATGATGCCAAACAAGCACAATGTAGAAGTTCTCGGAATACTTTCTGATGATACTGAAACTGATTTTGTAGCCCCAGGTGAAAACCTCAAAATCAGACTGAAGGGAATTGAAGAAGAAGAGATTCTTCCAGGATTCATACTTTGTGATCCTAGTAACCTTTGTCATTCTGGACGCACGTTTGATGTTCAGATAGTGATTATTGAGCACAAATCCATCATCTGCCCAGGTTATAATGCGGTGCTGCACATTCATACTTGTATTGAGGAAGTTGAGATAACAGCCTTAATCTCCTTGGTAGACAAAAAATCAGGAGAAAAAAGTAAGACACGACCCCGCTTCGTGAAACAAGATCAAGTGTGCATTGCCCGTTTAAGGACAGCAGGAACCATCTGCCTCGAGACGTTCAAAGATTTTCCTCAGATGGGTCGTTTTACTTTAAGAGATGAGGGTAAGACCATTGCAATTGGAAAAGTTCTGAAACTGGTCCCAGAGAAGGACTAAGCAATTTTCTTGATGCCTCTGCAAGATACTGTGAGGAGAATTGACAGCAAAAGTTCACCACCCACTCTTATTTACTGCCCATTGACTGACTTTTCTTCATATTTTGCAAAGAGAAATTTCACAGCAAAAATTCATGTTTTGTCAGCTTTCTATGTTGAGATCTCAGTTATGTCACTGTTGAATTTACCCTCAAGTTTCCTTCCTCTGTACCACTCTGCTTCCTTGGACAATTATCAGTAATAGCTTTCTAAGTGATGTGGACGTAATTGCCTATAATAATGAGAAATTAATGTACTTTAATTTTTCATCTTCCTTTAGGATATTTAGACCACCCTTGTTCCACGCAGACCAGTCAGAGTGTGCCAGTGTTTGTACATGTTAAAATGATAACTAACATGTGAATAAAATACTCCATTTGAAACTCTATGGTTATTTGAAATGCTTTTGAATAATGTTTAATTTCATTATGTAATGCTATTCAATTAGCTTTATTACTTTCTCAAATAGTTGAATATGTTCTATCACTTTTAATAACTCGTCACCACTTACTGTTTTAAGTGAGGAATTTACAAACAATGCATAAATGTGTATTAAAAGAAAAATTTTAATTTTGAGAAAAACTTATGTTAAGGCTCTTCCCAGTGAGCTTTGTTTTCTCTGTCCAAGTCCAGTCAATAAAGGAGCTCTTCTGCTTCCCAACTTGTGATTTGAAAATGAAAGGCTCAGGCTGTCTTTATTTGTATAGCAGTAGCTCACTTAACATTATCCATAGGTTCTTGAAGACTACAACATTAAGCAAAACAATGTATACCAGGTGTACAAACAATGTACGACATTGTTCAGTGTTGTTTAGTTACAACATTGATGAGGGGAAAAAATTCATTTAGTTAGGTGTTATTTCACTCAAAATCACAATTTCCAAGAACCAGTAGACAATGTTAAGTGAGGACTTACTGTATTCCGTCAGGTCCCATCATGTTGAGCATGGCCAAATTACAAATATGCCCGGGGATTCAGACCATGTGTTGAAAAGACCCTTTTTTTTTTTTTTTTAAAAGACAGAGTCTCACTCTGTCACCCAGACTGCAGTGCAGTGGCGCAGTCATGGTTCACTGCAGCCTCAAACTCGCAGGCTCAAGGGATCATCCCATCTCAGCCTCCCAAAGTGCTGGGATTGCAGGTGTGAACCACTGTGCCCAGCCTTGACTAGACTCATCTCTACTCCATCATCTTAATAAACACAGCTCTTAGTTTTGTTCCTCATGAAACTTGCATATGGGACACAACACAATAAGGGGTATGGCTATTGAGAAGATAAATGCTTGTAATAAGGTCGTTGGTCATTGAGTAAAAACTAAAGGTTAGTGACTCCTGGGCTGGGAAATGGGATTATTTCACCCTTGTATCTTTTGTGCTTGGGTTGGCAAGAAAGGGGGAAGTCATTTTTATAATCAGATCAGGACCTACACTTGGGGTCAGAGGCACTGGATATTTCTCTGAACAACTTCTTGAGGAAAACACCAATTATGGGTTCTGAGGTAGCTACATTTGTTGCCTTATAACCTGCATATTACTGTCAACAACTGAGGAACCTTCTGTCTTGTTAAGTGGGTAGTGCCTTAGGCACAGCAGTATACCTGACATAAGAGACAGTTTGCATTATTTTCAAACCTCATACTCATGAGCTAGTTGAATAGATGTGGAGACTGCTGCCACAGCACCGTGGGCTCATTCATGCTCAGATAAAGGCAATGTCTCCTTCTACATTGTTCCCTTTGTGTGCACATATACCTCCAGGGTGTCTAACCTGTCAGAGGTAGCCACACTGGTCTGGTCGGATCATCAGTATCAGTGCTGTACTGTGAATTATCCATCATAGGTCTTCAGAGCACCCATGTGAGAAATGAGGATTTTTATTTTGTAATACATCAGCTAACTGATCCACACGGATGTGCCTCATACATCTCGGACCCAGTTTTTTAATCATTAGAATGTCAGTGGTAAGAGTTTCTTTTTTGCCGGGCGCGGTGGCTCAAGCCTGTAATCCCAGCACTTTGGGAGGCCGAGGCGGGTGGATCACAAGGTCAACAGATCGAGACCATCCTGGTCAACATGGTGAAACCCTGTCTCTACTAAAAATACAAAACATTAGCTGGGCATGGTGACGCGTGCCTGTAATCCCAGCTACTCAGGAGGCTGAGGCAGGAGAATTGCCTGAACCCTTGAGGCGGAGGTTGCGGTGAGCCGAGATCGCGCCATTGCACTCCAGCCTGGGTAACATGAGGGAAACTCCGTCTCAAAAAAAAAAAAAAAAAAAAAAAAAGAGTTTCTTTTTTATCATAAAAGCTCTATGCACTGAACCTCACACAACATACAAATCAATCCAGTACTTGGTACGTTTTGCCCTAGAAGCCACTTTGTAAAAAACTATTTTTGCTGCTGCATCAATCTCATTGTTTTGTAATTTCAGTAATTTACTAATAGTAATTTGTGGCTGTCTTCCACTGATAGGCCAAAACCACAAGCCAGGACAGAACTCTTTGTCTCCATCCAATTTGGATGATTTCCCATGAAAAACTGGCTCCTAAATCTCTTTCTCATTAGCCAATTGTTTAGTAATTTCCCTACCAGAAGTTCTGAACTGTTTATATATAAAAACCTTCAGAGAAAAATACACTTTTTGGAAAATAGACCAATTCTTTGCATTTCAGTGAGAAGCAGATCTTCCAGGTGCTTGGAGACACGGGACTGTCTCTTTAACAAAGTAGATACGAACTCACGGTAACATTTCTTTCCAACTTCCTGGATACATTTCTTTATAGTTGTTAATATCTGACGGTGTTCTCCAATACTCCAAATTGGGGCCATTCACGGAGTACCAGATTCCCTAGGGCATCCAACTATTTATAAAACCATGTTCAGGGCAGTTTCCCTTCAGAGATCCCATATTTTCTCTAATTCAAGTCAGTTTGATTTAAATGTCCTCAGAGCTTCATCTCCAATTCCCAGCAGCCAAGATACTATGGAGTCTTCTCAAATCTGGTTGCATACTGTGAGTACTTTATGAGCTTCCTACTTCACACTTTCTCAGTGTCTACCTATTCTTGGCAATATTTTTTACCAATTTTCCTTCTTTATTCCTCTGGTCATTATGGGACAAATCTGAGGAGATTTAAGGAAAGGGGCCAACTTACTCTGTACGTCAGCAAAGACCTGAAAAGGAAAAAGGGGAATGGTTGGGCTGGATGGAAGGCAGTAAACCACACTGCTCACTTTCAGCATCTTTCCCTAGTACCTAGGAAAAACAGCCAGTGCTTTTACTATCCACTAAGGCCTCTGTTCCTGTCCTCAAAAGACAAATCCTCTCTCAAAATAGACCCTCCTTTCACAATATCATGATTTTGACTCATTGCAGTGCAAGCACTTGCCCTTTTTATTATTTACTTAAAAACATTTTGCAGTATACATACTCATTTTAGTAAAATGAAAGTGTAAACAAACTATCCACAACTAGAGAAGTTCTGTCAAAACCTGAGCATTTGAGTTGTTCCAGTGCCTGCTTCCATGTCCGATATTACTCTTTCTATATTTTCTGTTAAGACTATTGCCCTATTTTTAATTTTTCTAGTTTTCAGTTACAGTATCTACTCATTGGCCATTGAGGGGAAGGAGAATTTGAGCCAAGGCTTCTCCCCAGGGACACCACTGGTTACTTCCACAGTATGGGGAATGTAGACCTACCTTAGAATTTGGAAGAGGCTTTTCCTTTCTTTCTTTCTTTCTTTTTTTTTTTTTTTTTTTGGTTTTTTTTTGTTTTTGAGACGGAGTCTCACTCATTCGCAGACGTTGGAGTGCAGTGGCGCGATCTTGGCTCACTGCAACCTCTGCCTCCTGGGTTCAGGCAATTATCTACCTCAGCCTATTGAGTAGCTCTGATTATAAGCACCTGCCACCACGCCCGGCTAATTTTTGTATTCTTCGTAGAGACGGGGTTTCAACATATTGGCCAGGCTGGTCTTGAACTCCTGACCTTGTGATCCATCTGCCTCGGCCTCCCAAAGTGCTAGGATTTACAGACATGAGCCACCGCTGCAGGCCAGTAGAGGCTTTTTCAAAGCGCCTCGTGTGTGTGTGTGTGTGTGTGTGTGTGTGTGTGTGTGTGTGTGTTTTCAGCAAATAACCAAAATCAGCAAGGGAAAGGGAAAAGAAAAGAAGAACCTGCTGAGTAAACATGCCATGTATCAGAACAAACAAGCAAACAAAAGCTTTACTTACATACAGAAGACATAGCTTACAACATTACACTACAGCTCACAACATTACACTACAGCTCCTGGAAATTATTGAATATTGGCCCCACACACAGTTCAATCCTGCACTAGACTATGCCAGATGGTTTTAGAGAAAATTTGTCTAAATTCTAGGGAGCGTCTCTTTTCCTACACTTAGCCTTTAAAAATTGTATAATTTCTTTTTATAAATCAGTGTTGATGAAAGCTTCAGGCTCTGAGACTCGACATCAATCAAAAGGGATTTCATTTCTGCAAAGCCCTTTGTTTTCTCCTTAGATTAACATGAAACACTAATATTAAATTTGTATAAACTTAAAGTGCAGACATGTCTCAGGCCTCTAAAGAAGATGTTTCTCTCTTTGCTGAACTTTTTCCAAAGTCCAAGCAGATAACATTGACACTTGACCTTGGTTTTGGCATACAAGTACAGAAAAAGATTTGTTCATAGTCAGGCTGCTGTACACAATCATGCCATTACGTCTCTCACCTGGTAAGATATATGTACAGAATATATGAATTTGTAGCCCTTCTTTCACATTTGGGGCATTGAGTAAAGGGCCTCCTCTATTTTCTAACAGAAACTTACATGAATTATTTCCTCCTGAGACTGCTTTTATTTGTTCTGTGGCAGTGTAACAGTGAACTTTTGCCAAACCAATAAATTCACAAAAGAAGGACACTTTTGTCACATGGCAAGTGACCAAAAAATACCCCAAATACCTTCTGCAGATTTAGCTGGCAGTTCCTGGGTTCAATGTTAGTGTTTGATCTCCACCCTTGAATTTCTTTCTTCTCTCTTCTTTAATTGATACTTCTATCACTTTCTAAACTGTCTTAATTTATTTTGCCAGTTTGGTAGTGTATAAATGAATGGTGAAATAACATTTATCATTACTTTTTTTTTTTTCTTTTTTTTTTGAGCCAGAGTTTGGCTCTTGTCACCCAGGCTGGAGTGCAATGGTGCAATCTTGGCTCGCTGCATCCTCCGCCTCCTGGGTTCAAGCGATTCTCATGCCTCATCCCCACAAGTAGCTGGGATTACAGGCATGCACCACCGCGCTCGTCTCATTTTGTATTTTTAGTAGAGATGGGGTTTCACTATGTTGGTCAGGCTAGTCTCGAACTCCTGACCTTAGGTGATTCACCCACCCAATCATTACATTTTTTAAACATCCAAAGGCTTAGTTCTTGAGTGATGTTAATAACAGAATGCTCCATCCACAACCACAGTCTTCAGTGCGTGTTAAATTTAAAAAAACTCTTGTCTGAGAGGGTACGTGATCCACAAGCATAAATTTGATATATTCAAGAAGTGAAGGCCGGGCAGGGTGACTCACACCTGTAATCCCAGCACTTTGGGAGGCTGAGGTAGGTGGATCACCTAAGGTCAGGAGTTCGAGACCAGCCTGACCAATATAGTGA